ACCGCACCCACTATATTAGCAAGGAAACCTTCCTACCAGCCTTTAAGGCTGCTTTTGAGCAGTCTATCACGAAGGAGAATATCCAAGCTGGCTTCAGAGGTGCTAGTCTAGTCCCACACGACCCACAGGCTGTGCTATCTAAGCTTGATGTAGTGGTGCAGACACCTCGTCAATCACCACGACGGGTAGCTGCCTGGCAGGCGCAGACACCACGCAACGCGCGCGAAGTTGAGTCTCAAATTAGTCTTATTCAAGAGAGCGTGAGAAAACGCCGTGGATCTTCTGCCAATTCACTCACTAAGCAGATCGCGTAGCTGAGTAAGGGGGCCCAGCAAATGGCACATAAAATGACGCTTATGATGGAGGAAATGGGTACGCTTCGAGCGGCTCTTGACGAGTCAAATAAGCGTAAAAGCCGCAAGCGGCGATACGTACGGACAGAAGAGACTCTTACTGTAGGCGAAGTACAAGAAGTATTAGCTAAACAGGCGGGTAGCAGTCGTGGTGATGGTGAGAGTGCGTCGAAGAGGGTGCGAGGAGAGCGGCGGTGCGGGCGTTGCAAGCAGACTGGACACAACGCTCGTACCTGCGCAGTTGAGATAGATAGTGCAAGTGATAGTAGCGATTCTGATCATTAATTTAGTATATTGCAATAGTTTATTGACTGTGATAAAAGGCTGTGATAACGTGTTGAAGTTGACGCGCTGGTGGGGAGGTGTCCGCTCGCTTGGGGTGTCCGCTCGCTTATGAACCACGTTAATGATAATAATAATAATAACACATGCTGAGTGACTGAACTGAACAAAACTAAACTGAACTGAATTGAACTGTAAATAAGTTTTTTTTTCTCTTTCTTTTTTTTAGGGAAGAAAAGAGGAGAGGGTCATGTGTTTCTTTGCATATCCTTCTTTGGGTCCTGCATGGTGAGGAAGTGTACGAGGAGGGTTTGGTGGGTAGTTACTGGCTTTGTTTGGCTTGATGAATGGGTATTTAGGGATAGGACGGAGTTGTGGGGGGAAGGGGAAGAAGAAGAAGGAGAAGAAGGAGAAGGAGAAGAAGAAGAAGAAGGAGAAGAAGGAGAAGGAGAAGAAGAAGAAGAAGAACATGATCACCACAGTACTCATTGCAAGACCATTCTTCTCACAATAGGAAGAAAAAAGTATCCCCCACCAAAATAGCGACGAGTAAAAAGACTAGAGTGGAAAGTAGATACTCTAATTCACCTTGTATACACTACATATCATACAAAAACCCCCCTTTACTTCATCCTCCTTACTACATCCCACCCTGCTGCGAAACAACCTGCCCACACCTCGCACACACATCCTCCGTTTCCTCCCTGACATGGCGCCAGCACCGCGGACACTTTTCGCGGCTGGGAGGATGCACAAGCACTCTCGCGTTCGCAAGTATACCGTTTCCATCTCCGCTTACTACAACGGCTTCTTCTTCCGCCCACGCCCATTGAGTCTTCATCTGCTCTGCGTCTTCGGTTGAAAAGCCAAGGTCTGAGACCGACGCCGATGCTTCTGGTAGCGCGCGGATTCGCACCTGGCTAATGACGAATAAGCCCGCAAACTGGGCTTCCACATCGGCAGCTTCCAGACGCAGCGGATGCATACAGTTTGCAAAGTCGGTGCTTAGTTTCTCGAGACCTGGGACAGGCAGATAGATGGTAGCGCTGCATTCAAGACTGGATCCGATCTTCTTGTCTGCGCGAGCACGCTCCTGTGCAATCTTGATGGCAGCACCGAGCGCGCTAGTCGTTTCGCCCATAGACTCTAGACTCGCTGATTCCGTCTGCGTCAGAGGGGCCAGAGACGACCACACGGCGCGAGCAGGATGGATACTGTGTTGCCTCAACGCGTCCGGAACGTGGTCCCAGACTTCCTCGACCAGCAACGGACACACTGGCGCGAGGATCTGTAGTAACTCATAGAATATAAGGCCCAGAACCCGCTGGAGCATTTCGCAATCTGCCTTGTCACCCGTGTAAACGCGGTCTTTGAGCGTCTCAAAGTAAAAGGCGCTGAGGTCCATGGAAATGTACTTGTTGAGCGTGTTGACGCCCTTGAAGAACTCGTACTTTGCAAAGTGCTCGTGGGCTTCGCGGCTTACCTGCACGAGGCGATGCACCGCGAGGCGATCTGTAAGTTCGCTGAATACCGTGGTGTCGGGCATAAGGCTGTTGAAAGAGGTAAAGGGAGGCGGACACGATGGCAGAGAGAAGATACCTAGAAGCCACTTGAAGGTGACGCGGTATTTGTGCAGCGCTTGGTTCACGGATATCAAGAGGGGCTGGCCAATGGTCACGTCGCGCGTGTAGTCGCTGCTTGCGGCCCACAGGCGGAGGGCATCGGCGCCCATGGAATCGTAGGTCGGTGTGTGCTTTGTGGCCGGATCCTGCTTGACGCCCTTGTGCTTTTTTCGCTTCACGGGTGGAAGCAGCTCGCCAGACATGATCTGGAATGGGGATATGACGTTGCCAAGCGACTTGCTCATCTTGCGGCCGTCCGAGTCAAGAGTGAAGCCATGCGTGATGAGAGTCTTGTACGGCGCTTTGACCGTTTCGGTAGAGTAGGACTGGGTGGCGACGTGGGTGAGGAGCGATGACTGGAACCAGCCGCGATGCTGATCAGTACCTTCGAGGTAGACGTCAGCTACAGGCTGGTCCTTTTGCTGCGGAAGAAGTGTCCAGCTTGTTCCGCTATCGAACCATACATCCATGGTATCTCTGCCACGGACATATGTACCAGTGAGGTGCTTGGGCTTCCAAGCCGGGTCATCCTGCGCATCTGTCCACCACGCATTGATCCCGCGCTCTTTGATTACTCCAATGACATGTTCGATGACCTTGGAATCCATAGTCGCTTGGAGCGTATCGCCCTCGACCTTGTACAACGCAGGGATAGGGACACCCCAAGCACGTTGCCGCGAAATGCACCATTGACTGCGACCTTGGATGAAACTCTCCAGACGGCTCCGACCAGATTCAGGTTTAAAGTTGACATCAGCAATTGCTTTCATCGAGGCCTCCTTGATGCTTTCGACGTTTGCAAACCACTGCTCTGTAGCGCGAGTAATGACAGGCTCTTTGGTTCTCCAGTCAATAGGGTACTTGTGGCGGTAATTTTGCTTTCCACGCAGCATTCCCAGCTTTTGCAGGTAGTTGCAGACAGCATTACTACCCGTTTTCTTGATATCGGTGACTGGCAGGCCTTCCAGCAGGTCCGGCTGTTCCGGGAATGCATCCTTGGTAAAAACGCCAGCATCGTCTACGGGAGCAAAAGCCGGGATGTTGAGCGGCATGCAAACATTGTAGTCGTCCATACCATGCCCAGGGGCGAGATGGACCAGACCGGTACCAGACGAGTCTGTGATAAAGTCTGCGTGTATGATGGGCTGAAGTCCGTCTGCCTTCTGGAACGGATTCTCATAATGAACTTGATCAGCAAGGTCTGAGCCACGCACGTCTGGTACGACAATCTCAAGCTTGCGCTCCAGAATCTTTTCGTACTCGTCTACCCTTGAAGTCGCAATCAGAATCAGTTCATCATTATTTTCTGCATCCCTGGCGATGCAATACTGCATATCGCGGTGTACTGCAATAGCCTTGTTCGCTGGCAGGGTCCAGGGAGTGGTTGTCCAGATGACTACGTTGACCTCGCTTTTGACATCCTTTAGCGCTCCGGTTTTCAGAGTCTCGGACAATTGCACTGGGTACCGCACAAAAGCCGCCAAGCTCTTGTGTCCCTCGTCGTACTCCAACTCGGCTTCTGCGAGCGCTGTTCTTGAGCTTGGGCTCCAGTATACTGGCTTGAACTGCCTATAGATGAGGCCCTTCTCGAACATGGCCTTGAACACTTCCAGCTGCCTCAATTCAAAGCTCCGCTCCATTGTCTGATATGCGTTGTCCCAGTCACCCATGACAGCCCACTCCTTGAAACCATTTTTCTGCTCTTCAATTGTCCGTGCAGCTAACTCGCGCGCAGCCTCACGTACGCTCACAGGATCCGTTTGTGCAGCATCCTTCTTCTGCGCCTGTAGTGCCTTGATCTCAATGGGCAATCCATGGCAGTCCCAACCAGGAATATATGAGACCTTCTTTCCCTGGCCAACCTGGAATCTACATATGACGTCTTTTGTAATCTTGTTCAGCGCGTGCCCAATATGCAGCGGTCCATTCGCGTATGGCGGTCCATCATGTAGCGTAAAGCTTCCTGTTGGCCCCTGACCATTTTTCTCTAAATTCGCACTGGCCCCTTCTCGCTCCGGGTGTCTTTTATATACAATGCGTTCTGAGCTCCGCTGCCAGGCATACAGCTCATCGGTACATCGTCGCAGGTACTCTCGATTTGCGGACGCCAACGGTCGCGGCGGGAAATTTGATTTTGGCAATCGTAGGGTATTGGACCATGACGCACGGAGGATACGAGTCGGCGTTAGCATAATAGCATCATGGGCGGGCAGATCGGCAGGGGAAGCAGACGTGGGTGCGCCAGATATTTTTTGGGTTGTTGACTTCACGCGGTGATTACCCGGCTAGCTTCGGCGATAACACGGAGATGGCTTGAACGAAATCAAGTTCCCTAGGGATACACGGAAATGCGGCTACCCGGAGATGAGAATGTAGGAATAAATGGTATTCTCTATGGTATCAAAGTCCTATTATCTGTAATGTGCCATCCAACAGTCGTATCTAAAGCGCCTAACCAACTCCTGCCCCAAAGACAAGGGCCAAACTCCGGATTCAAATCGTAGTCTCAGTAAACAGTCAAAGAGCTTACAGCTCCATTCTTGAGCACTTCAAACACCATGCCTGGAAACCCAAATAGCTCCACGTTACCCACGTCTGTGGTACCCTCCATAAGCACACTGCCGGCATTGGCAAACTTGCTTTTCTTCCCTGAACTGTCTTCCCATCCCCCAAGAAGCTCACAGCTACTCCCCGGACTATCTCCCCAGCCTCGGTTCAAAGCCATGCCGCGCTGTTGTAGTCTCTCCTGCTCCTCGTTTTCGTAGTGCGGTTTGAATACCTCTTTCAGACGGCCGGAAATATCGCCAAAACCCATTTCAGAGTTGAGAGGCTCACGGTACATGGCCGAGGGAACGTGCTCAAGAGTCCACCGGCTTCTTCTGTGTCGGTTGAACTGGTATGAGCCAGGGACGTTGCCGTGGAATATTACTTTGGTCGCGGTGAGATGGTTGAGGGGCTGCGCACTGGGCTCCCCTGCTTCATGTAAATCAGCGTCTCGTCTTTCCGCCGTCGGTGAAGGTGGCGAGATGTGCGTAGGCTGTGATATTAAAATGTCGAAGCCATGGTGGTAGTAGTTGTAGAAATGCTCTGCCGCAGCAACCTCACGCTCCTGAGCTTCTAGCGCGGCGTCATCATCGCCTTCCCATGCGTCTTCATCATCGCTTCTTATAGCCGAGCCAGGATCAGAGTCTTCGTCAGGCGTAAGCCCACCAGGGGATAGATCTGATGCATCGCTTGTTCTCCGGTCCTTGTGGATAGACAAACGGTGGTCATTCTTGCGATAGATCGAGTCCGGGGCCCCCAGCTCCATGATCAAATCTTGAGGAGTTGTCTCACTAAGAACAATCCAGAACGGAGGGCTAGACCGCCTGACAAGTTCTATTCTGCCCTCTCCATGTACCCTGACTGTTTCAATCTCGTCTGGCCCACCATCCTTTGTTTTTCCTAGCATCAGTGATCTTGGGTTCGCGGGAGGAGACGTGAATAGGGTGGCGCGTGCTTTCTGCCACGACTCCCCGCTAAAGACAGCCATGGACGTTGCAGGGCCCGTGGCAGACGATGACAGAAGCGAGATGAAGTCTTTCTTGGGAGAGTATGCAGCGTGCTGTACGGGAAAGTTGAAGGCTATCCCTGGATACGATAGATTGTATGTGCCCATGGCGTTCGGATCTTCCGACTTTGGCGGCACATACTCTCCACCATAGGTCGGCCCCAATAGCTTGTCATAGACATGCCTGAACCTTGGACCGGATAGGCCTCCCGTGAAGCCTCCGTCTCCAGGCTTGTAAACTTCGATATCCTTGTATACTAGTCGGGCTTTGGCGAAATCGAGCACTTCGATAAGACGTAGCCGCTGGTCAGGGCCGTCGAACTGTAAGCGCAGACCGTTGTCGGGAAGGACGACTTGTATTGGGGATGAAAGGGGCCGGAAGTCGTCATGGTAGAGCTGGAAGCGCGGAAAGGCCTTGACTTCGGCCTTGATCGTTGTGAGCACTTCGTGAAGGGAGCAACCAAGGGCTGTATTCTGTCAGCTTTGTACTGCGTACAGGCGGTTCGACCAACTCATGAAGCCTATGCTACGCCCTGGCTGTAGGTGCATGGTTCCGTCTTCCATGGTGAGCCTTGTTGAAGTGTATGGAGAGAGTGCGATGTGTTGCTAGTGCATGTGTTGCTGGTACCTAGCTCACGGGCGGTAAGGAGCTCGTGCTTTGTCCACGAGGACAGGTGACACAGAGTAGACCCGCCACCGAACACTGGATGACGAGTAGTCGAGAAGCCCCGAAACGCGATATGTTCAGAGCTGCTACCATACAACCCGGGTCATCCACGGCGGGTGATGGTGTTGGCAACGAATGAGGGGTGGTGGGGCTTTAGAACACGCCTGGAGCACGCCTATCCATGGATCCGGAAGGGCGTGAAGTATTCGAACAGTCCCAAACTATGCAGTATCTGTGAAAACAAGACGGGCATCAGACGCGCCTTGTCCAACATAAAGATGTGCACGTCGTGCTGCATTGACGTAGCGCGAGGGGTTGGTTCGTCGAGGGACATGACGCGTGGTCCGAGCGTCCGCGCTTCCAACATCCCTGCAACAGGTGTTTATCCATTGTTTACTTTGCTGCGGCTCCACAACACCAGACGTCCAGCATACTAACCACCAGCCAATTCCGTTCACCACTTCCTGAGCGGCATCATGTCTGGCCTACCGAGACCAGGCCCGGCGGCCAAGCGCACCACAACAGCGATGCGCCCTCCGACGACGCGGCCACCGCACCTGGCGCGTGGGCGTGCAGCAACCCCTGCTATGGATGGCCGCTCGTCGAGAGCCGAATCCGTAGCCTCGACGGCACGAGTGACGCGGTCCTCGCCGCTGAAGCGTAGAGTGCAAGAATACGAAGTCGACGGAGAAGAGACCAATATCAATGTTGTTGTGCGGTGCAGAGGGCGCAATGACCGCGAAGTGCGCGAGAACAGCGGCGTCGTCGTGTCGACCAACGGAATCAAGGGCACCACGATAGATCTGTCCATGGGGCCCAGCGCCCTCAGCAATAAGACGTACCAGTTCGACAAGGTTTTTTCTCCGGCAGCCGACCAGAACATGGTTTTTGACGAGGTCGTGTCGCCGATCCTGGACGAGGTAATTGGCGACGGTCCCTTGGATAACGGTGGCGACTAACAATGACAATAGGTGGTTGATGGTTTCAATTGCACCATTTTTGCCTATGGCCAGACCGGTACCGGCAAGACTTACACAATGACTGGTGACATTTCCAACGTCCTGCCACTCCCCGACGCTGCCGGTATTATACCGCGTGTACTGCACGCGCTCTTCGCTCGCCTCGAGGCGGACGAGATTGAGAATTCTGTCAAGTGCTCCTTTATCGAATTGTACAACGAGGAGCTGCGCGACCTGCTGTCCCCCGACGATGCCACAAAGCTCAAAATCTACGACGACAATAGCAAAAAGGGCTCCACGACTACCTTGGTGCAGGGCATGGAGGAGTGCCATCTGAAGAATGCTTCGGACGGTATTGCGCTCCTGGCCAGCGGAAGCCACAAGCGACAAGTCGCAGCGACAAAATGCAACGATCTGAGTTCACGCAGTCACACCGTCTTCACAATTACTGTGTACATCAAGCGAACATCAGAAGACGGTCAGGAATATCTGAGCGCTGGAAAGCTCAACCTGGTCGATCTTGCTGGTAGCGAAAACATCCAACGCAGTGGAGCCGAGAACAAGCGCGCTGCTGAAGCCGGTCTGATCAACAAGAGTCTGCTAACACTAGGTCGCGTTATTAACGCGCTTGTCGAGCGCAGCTCTCACATTCCGTACAGGGAGTCGAAGCTGACCCGACTGCTGCAAGACTCACTAGGCGGACGAACCAAGACGTGCATCATTGCGACCCTCTCGCCAGCTAAGAGCAACCTCGAGGAAACCATCTCCACCCTGGACTACGCTTTCCGTGCGAAGAACATTCGGAACAAACCCCAGGTCAATCAACCCATCAATAAAAAGACCTTGCTCAAAGAGTACACGGTCGAGATTGAGAAGCTGAAAAGCGAGCTGATAGCGACACGGCAACGAAACGGTGTCTATCTTACGCAAGAAAATTACGACGAGATCACGACAGTAAGCGAGTCGAGGCGAATCCTGAGCGAAGAACAGCGTGAAAGGCTCGAGACCATGGAGGTCAACCTCCGTAACAAGGTGGAGGATCTGTTCAAGCTGACGACCAACTTTCAAACACTCAAGAAGGACAACGAGCAGACACAACTGGCCTTGAATAGTACCAAGAGCATTCTTGACAAGACGGAGATTGTTCTGGGCCACACTCGTCAGAACCTCGAAGAGGAGACGGAGCTGCGCAAGGCGCACCAAAAGACAGAGGAAGAGCTGGCCGAAGTAGGCAGGGACATGATATCAACGCTAGGCAAGACAACATCAGCGATCGATGGCTTGAGGTCCAAAATCCGTCGAAAGTCCGAGCTTCAGTCGCAGAATCGGCGCAATTGGAATTCTTCGCAAACACAGGTTGTCGACACCACCCGTCTCGTGGAGGACCGGATCGAAGAGTTCCAGCACCAGCAAGAGGAACTCATGGATGCCATTTCAGAGCGCATGCAGATATTTGTCAGGGATGAACTTGAAAAGTTGGGCGCCTCGCAGGCTTTCTTGCAAGAGAAGATGGAAGCGTACCAAGCGTCTGAAAATGAAGTCAATGGACAAACCGCCGAAGCGCGTGATCACATGAACCAAGTTCTAGAGGAGATCAAGACGCTGCGTGAGGATGTAAAGACCAAGATTGGTGCAGGGCTGGACGAACTTTCTGCTGCAGCAGAGACCATATCGGCAAACATCATCACCGAGCTGGACGCCTTCCACACACAGGTCCACTCATCGTACGCGAGCCTCGGTCGCGACTTTAAGACAACATTCGACGACCTGGTCAAGGATCTGAACGACCAACAGGCAGAAAACGAGCGACTCCATCAGCAGGTCGTAGAGGCCAACACAGCTGTGATTGAGGCGAACAAGGCGACCGAGGACCAGCTTGCAAGGGTCGTTGAAGAAGAGAAGCAGAAGTCTGCCGAGGATCGCCAACAACTGTTGGCACAAATCACTGCTCTCATGACTGCAAACGCTGATGCACAAGAGAAGAGACTAGAAGAAAGGCTTTCAACAGTGCGTCAGGAGATTGCTGCGGCTAACACTGCGTTTGAGGCCAAGCAGGGCGCCTACACTGAAGGTGTCAGCGCGTGGTCAGAGAAGTCGAGAGACATCCTAGCGGGTGTGTCCAAGTCGAGAGAGGCTGTCAAGACGAAGATCAAGTCCGACTTTGCTGTAGGTTTATCATATCACCCTCTGAAGCACCCACTAACCCTCATCAGACTGCGACCCAACATTCCACCTCAATCAAAGACACAACCACCTCTGTACACGAAAGCACTGTCAAGACAGTTGAAGCCCAAATGGCGCATCTGGACACGCAATTGCAGTCTTTGGACGACATTGTTTCTCGCATCCGTGAGCAGAACAATGCTCACCATGCTGCACATACTACCTCGCTCGCCGCCCTATCTTCGACAGTAGGCGCCTCCTACTCGAGCATAGGAGACCATTTGTCTTCTTCGTTTGATCGCGTTCAGTCTCTTGAGTCTGACATGTCGACACACACTGTCACGCTGAAGGAGACTTTGCCATCATTGGCGGCTGAGTCGGACATCCGCGCGCCGCTCCACGAGCTGCGTGAGGCTGTCAGCAGCCAGAACCTCCTCGAGTACAATCCCACTGGCGAGACGCCTCAACGCGTATCCTACAACATCCCCTCGAATCTTCCGCGCACTGAGGCCCATGAGAACATCATCTCTCGCCTCCGAAATCGCCCCACATCAGCCGACGGCACAGCCCGCAGTCCCTCCAAGCAACCAATTTTCAATGATGCAACCAACTCGCTTAGTCTTGCTTCACCGACTTCATTGTTTTCTCCTACTGCCACCAAGACGGATTTCTTTCCCTCGATCAGTGCGCACGCCCACACCATCTCGCACTTTACCTCGGGAGGAGGCAACCCCTCTTCCCTGCGGGAGCTAGATGTTAACGTGGTAGCCCAGGAATCACACACGCAACCTCTTCCCCATCTCGCATCCCAATCCTCCTCGGAATCGCTAGCCAGCGGTATTCCGCCAAATAAGAAGATGCGCATGAGCGGTGAAGAGGCGAGCAAGCTGCCGATGAAGAAGATGAGAAAGACTGTTGGCGTTGCTGGTGACAAGGTTGACCGGGAGAACATTACGAACTTTGGCAACAGCGTTGGCCCTGGGTTGGCTGCGGGAAGGAGGCTGAGAAGTCACGGGAGCACATAGATGGAATGTTTTGGTGTGACTAAGGACATGGTGTTGGTGTTTGGGCGCAAAGAATTGGCTGCATTGCAGCCTCACTACGGTGGAAATTTCCTTGCATGTGTCATGGCGTTGGTTGCGAATAACGAACTGGGTACACTAGTATTTCTGTCCTTTGTTTCAGGTCATGGATTATAGGGTTCGGGCTCAAGCATAGTAAATAGGCGTAATGACCATTTTCACTATTCAAACAAGATTGGGTTTGATGATTGGTAATTGGGCATTGACAGTACAAGCAATACGTCTGGAAAAGATGAGAGAAATGAGAGAATACTGCCGGCGTGGGACTGGTCTGTCTCCCTATCTTATCATGGCTAGTAACATCCAATGGTGGAGCATGGACAAGGACAAGGACAAGGACATGGGCAGTATGTACGTGGTAAGCAAAGAAAAAAAAACCTGGAAGTTGAGTAAACAAATCCTGCTCGAGCATGCAGCGGTGAGCCCAAGCTGAAGACGCTAAGTACCATATTCTTTTTTGTTTTCTACATGTAGCTTGCCGTCGTGTAGCACAAAACCTCGAGTCCACACCCATTGATATCTACGCCCATCTACACAGCAACTCCATGCCAACACGGCGGCAAGACGGATTGAACTTGAACACTAAAACTACCTATCTACCTACTTAGTTCCCCCCACCCACATATACATACATACTTGGACAGCAAACTAGCAAGCCAACGACCCCGCAACCCGCGTGTTAGCCGCCCGCCGCCGCCGGCCCTAAACCACACAGGCACGCACATGATGGTTCCTGACTCGGCCGCACACAAGCGTGTATTACAAGTGCTAAGCTAAGTGTCAAGTGCACCTGCATACACTACACGCATACATACGTGCATACATGCATGCATGCAGTAGCTTCCTCTTCCCGCTCCCCCCCAACCCCCCCAACCCCTGAAGCACACGCACGCGCAAGTGCAAGCGTACGTAAGTGCGAGTATGGGCAGCTACAGTACACCTATAGTATGTACGTGCACTATCGACTACTAAGTAGAGTAACAACCAAAAAAAAACTGGTCAAGTATGGGAGACCCCACATGCCATGCCATGCCATCACAGCATAGCACATGACGGGGCCAGCAGCAGCAAACGGGAACCCGTATCCGAGCGACGGCGGGCCCGAGGAATCCGCATGCGGTAAATCCGGATTTCCGCTCGGCATGCCGTGGCGCTGATTGGGTATGTAGCGGACTTTTTTACTTAGCGCCAGCCAGTCAGCCAGCACAGCCAGCATAGCTGGGGCGCGTGTGACGGTGCCGGCGACGGCGTGAAATGACCCGAATCCAAGTACGAGAGCGAGAAGAGGCAGAGGCAGAGTCAGAGGCATATGGGGGAGAGAGAGAAATTGAGTGAGAAGGGGGGGTGAAAGGATGCGGCAGCATGGTGCCGGTGCGTGGGTGCAGGTGCAGGTGTCAGGGCTCGTGCCGAGGCGCGGGTATGTCACTGTGTCATTGGATTCGCGCGTATACGGGACTGTGGGGGCTATATTGGCGTGTATATATCTGACTATGGGCATTTTGCTCGTGGGGGGGGGGGTGGTGAGTAGGTGTAGTTGGTTGTATTGCTATGTGTGTGTGTGTGTGTATGGCGTCGGCATCCATCGCTGTTATTACTGTACTGGGACGGTGCGGTGGACGTCATTTGAGTGACTGACTGTAGTGTAAAATTCCTGGCGTGAGTTTTGTGTCTTTTAATTTGTTGGTAAATCTCTCTTTCGGTGTGTGTGTGTGTGTGTGGAGAAGGAAGGAAACGGAATGGTGCGAATGGTGCGAATGCGGTCTGAATTTTTCTCTCTCTTTTTTTGCTTTTTCTCGTCTCCTGTTTATAGGTGTAACACGGATGTAATATCCAAACTGTAAACGGGCAAGGGAGAGCGGGGATGAGGTTTCCAGCATGCAGCATGGCGTAAACTGCATGCTTTGCAAGAAAGCCATTTGGGAGAGGGGGAAATGATGCTGGCGGTAGGGGATGCCAGCGTATCAGGTGTGGCAGGCGTGAAATGGGCAACGGCAGAGGAAAATAAAAGATGCATGTAGGGGAATTGATAGGGTGGGCCTGTGGGATGTGCATATCTGCACGATGCAAAAAAGCAAATGCCCATGTGTATTGTATGCACGTCTAGATGGCGTGCTAAAAAGGAATTGAAACAAGCCGCGTCTCGGAGTCTTAGCGGGACGGGTGGAGGCGTACAGCGTAATTGCCTTGGGTATGTGGCGGCAAGATGATTGTTGTTGAGGCCCAACTCGGCAATCGTGACACTGGATCCCATGAGTGCGGAACCGGCAACTACCAGCGCAGCGGAGCTTTTTTCCGGCCCTGTGTCACCCTGTCGAGAAAGATCCGGGGGGGGGGGTTGTATTAATATTGTGTTGTGTCTCTGGGGTAGTACTTAGGGCGCCGGCCAATATCTCCGGCGGGTGGAGCGTGCTCGGCCTGGCAACTGAGTAAGTAAGGACTTAGCGTGGGGGGGGCGTCAGATCTCATCTAGCAGATCGGTTCAAGGTTGTCTGTCAGCCATGTTCGGAACCACGACGCATCCCTCAGCCGCCCTGCAGGCATGTGCCCTGCTACACCTACACATCGCCCTCTCCCGCACGCCCATGGTCACGCCCTCCTCCCCGCTGCTGCACACTGAGCCTGCCATCGTCAGTTGACCGCGTCGTTGGTCCGCCTGACAGCATGGCCGCCGTCTCCACTCGTTCCCACCACGGCCCAGTACGTGTATACCTCTGCCCTCTGTTCATATTCAACTACTTACCGTTCCGCTTTTGCTGCCGCCGCCAAGCACTCATCCAGCCTCACCTGCAGCCCAATCTCAGCCCGCTGCTGACCACAATGACCCTGATTCATGGGCGCCGTCTTTCTTTGGTCCAATGCTTAGCCTCCTGCGACGACAACCGCCATCCAGCCAAGACGGATACGTCACATTAGAGATGATGTGGTGCTCGGAATTCCAGCTTCTTGGACGCGCCGGAAGCCGGATAGCGAGCCTGTGCCGTGTGACTTATTGCCAATTGGATCTAGCCAGCTCATGTCGGGCACTGCAAAAGTACCCTCGAAACTGGCCCCCTCCACCATTCTGCCCGAGAGCATCCTCCGCGGGAAGCGGTGTAAGAGAGCCCAAACACCCGTCGACGATATACTTTGGCTGCGAGCCCGACAATCTCGTTACGAGATGCCACACCGCGGTAGCTTTCGGAACACTCGCCCTCCATCCACATGGGCATTTTAGACCCGCTCCATGGCAAGCCACATTATGCCATGCCACGGTTACGGTATCCGATGGTCTACACCATGCAAATGTCGCACCCCGGCAATCGAGCATTTCCCACTCCCCTGGCTACAGGATGCGCCATCTGTCGCCTATTCTGATCGCCGCCATGATAGGGCCATATTCTGGGGCAAACACCCGCCTCATTCTAGTGCAAGCGGCTGATCTTGGCGGTGCATTGCCTGCATTGCGTCATCCCCGCTGTCATGTTGGCCTGCTGCCCTGTCACCACCTGGTGGGAGTCGTGTACAATTCCACGTAAATGCTGCCTGTCCAGGCCAATCACGGGCCGAATCGCTCCGTGGACTCGACCACGCAAGCAAGCCATCGCGCTGCATTTTCCGACACGGCGACGCCATGGCGTATTGCCGGTTTCCTTAAAGGCTCCGTGATTCTGTTGAGACGGTAGCATTGATCCGCATCCAAACATGATACCGAAACTACATATTAGAGCTGTTTCCATGTCTCTGTGTCAGGCTATCTAACTAGGTATAACCAGGCCCTGGCACGCGCGGGAAAAAAAAGAAGCATGGGGCCTTTTCCCGCTTGCACAAGGGGACACGCTGTGACGAGCTTTGCTGTGGGCAGGCTTGAAATTATCGTATTACATAAACTTTCTTGTACATGAGATGCGAGGGCATACCACATGGTATTGTGTCCTAGCGAAATGCGTACCAGACTATATGGTGCGCCGTCGAGGTGTCGACAGCGGCCTGGTATCCTTTGACTGAGCGCGAGACGCTCACAACACATGAAAACCTCCAAGGATCCACCATGGCAATCATGCCAAGTCTATCGTGGGTATTCGCGATGGTCGCTTGTTATATCACTGCGCGGAGGGCCATTGCTGCTGGCCACGGCGGGGCGTATCGAGGCAGCTCCGAGGGCATATCATGTTGGGTAGATGCGCGGTTCGAGTATGAGTCCTGGTATCGGAGACAAAAGGTCTGGGTCGTAGGCAGGAGGCGCCAGCAGAGGGCTGGCGACCTCTCTGGAGGCGGGTGCGAGTTGGGGATGCGTCCTGTGCCCGACTAGACACTGCGAGACTGTCGATTGCCATTGCTGTCGAAGTGCATCTTTCTATCCTCTTCATCGTCATCAAGCAGGCCATCTCCGGGATAGTCGTTGACATCGTCTTCTAGCATCTGGAACGTCTCCAGATAGGCGCGCGACGGCACTGACTCGGGAGAAACGAGCAGCGAGGCAACGTCCATCTTGATGGATTTCGGGTAGAGGTGCTCGTTTGGGTCTTTGACAAACCAGGCGCCGCCCTGTCCGTGGTCCATCATCTTGCCTGGTCGAGTCTCGGGAGGGGAAAACCTCTCGGACAAGATCTTGCGCAGCACGCGCTCGAGCTGCTCGTCTGTGGGGCCTTGGACAATGTGCTTCTGCTCCAGGCGAAGGATGCGCTGGTTCATTTTCTGGAAACACAGCTCTGTCCGCCGAGGGGCGGCCCGGGGGAGACGAGGATGGCGGTGGTGGTGGTGGTGATGATGATGATGATGATGATGGGGATGGATGGTGACGCGAGGGCGAGGAGGGCAAGGGTGAGGATAAAGGAGGGTGAGGATAAAGGAGGGTGAGGATAAAGGAGGGTGAGGATAAAGGAGGGTGAGGATAAAGGAGGGTGAGGATAAAGGAGGGTGAGGGGGGGGAGGGGAGACGGACGAGGTGGAGGTGGAGGTGGAGAAGGAGAAGGAAGCTGGCAGGCCAGGCTGCCACTCGCACTTGCAGCGCGGCCGAGTCGGGCATGCGGGCGGTGAGGCCACCACGAGCTGCCGTCCAAATTGGTTCGCGGCAGACTCGCCGCTAGCCCAGACGGGGACCAGCCAGTCGATCCCCGTCTACCGAGCGCTAGTGCCATGGCCAGGCCCCTGCATTCACTCTTCTCCCATCCCATCCCATCCCATCCCACGCCCATGCCCATGCCCCTCCCCGTACAGCCTGGCCCTGCTCCCTTCGGGCACGCACACACAGACACACACGCACACGCACACGCACACGCACACGCACACAGACACACGCTCCCCTCGACCCAGCCAACCACCAAGCCATCCCGCCCATCCGTGGACCCTGCTGCGCCTTACCCACAGCACTGCATGCCCAAGGTCAGGCAGGCCTGCTGCTGCCCCTCGAACCGCCTCTGGTCCAACACGGGTCTCCAGGCCTCACCTACGTCTGACATCCTAGCCGTCCCGCGGACTGGCCCTCTCTCGTCTTGGCCCTCGCTCCCATCATTAATTCCCCGTCAAGTCCAACTGTGTGACCTGGTCGTACACTAAATCCTTCCCCTTGACCCGTGTCTTCTGTCGGCTTCCAACACCCCTCTCCCTTTGCATGTCATCATCATGTCCTTCTCGTACCAACTGCAGATGATCAACCAGTCGTTTGATCGCATCGCTTCGTGGTAGTATGTGTAATCGGCACCAACCTCTCGACACGTCGACGCCATGCTGACCATTGCAGCCATGAGTTTATGCGCCCACCGCGCTGGCCACGCATCCATCGTGGCAGCACGAAATGATCAACGCCAGCCCCCAGCGCCAGCCGTCAACGGCGTTCCCCGACATGGCCTTGTCGCGCATTTACTACGTCGGCCAGCCGCTAGCCCAATCAGGCTGCAGCAACATGATGCCTGTCGGCAAGGCTTCCCATTGCCTGCGCCGCCGTCATCGGTAGCCCGACTGCACACAGAGCGGCCACACGGCTCCAAACACCTGTTCTCCCAAGCTGCCGACGCACATCTTTTTGCACATGCCGAGTCAGTGCCTGGCCGTCTCCTTTCGTAACCTTCACCACCTAGCCCCATGGCGGAACAGAGCCGGAAATCCGTGCTTGTGCTCCAAAGCTTAGTCCAGCCAACGCCGCCCTGTTGGAATCCCCCAGCTTCTGCTGTATCCACTGCCTAGCCCTCGACGCGCGACACTGCCTCAAGGAAATCATCAGACTTGGCGCGAGTGGCCTGACCACCCGCCGACCTCCTATCTCGCCGCCAAACACCCGCCGACTTCAAGTTTTTTTTCTCAGCGCCCAACCACACCCGCACACATATACATACACACATACACGCTGGACAGTGCTGCCAGAACCACACCCGCTGCTCGGATACTTGCTTCCATCCCGCCAAGCTGTCTCTCGAAACCATGATTCTATTGTTACATTTACCTTTCTCGCAACCGTCGGCTCCTGCGGCCTCCGAGGCAAGCAGAATTAGACTCAAACCAGTCTAGTCTACCAACTCCGCAGCCTGCAAGAATCCCTATCAGGCCCTGTCCCATCGGCGATCGAAGCACCATGCAGTGGCGCTCCGGAATGAACCTGAACAGGGCTACTTTTATGAACAACCTCGCGTATCCTATAATAGCCATTGGTAGTGTTTTCCCAATCCTGCAGCTGCGCCATACCTGGGCCAAGCTATGTTTTGCAAGTTTACAACACCTCCTAGCCTACAGCTCCAAACATGCCCCGCGCCGGCCGCTCTAAATCAGTAATCATAACCTGTTTTGTACTGCGACTCTCCAGGCCCCCTGATGCCCTTGGTTTCACCAAAGCAGACAGGCCACGTCAATCCTCTCTCAAAAGGCCGACCTTGGACGAGCCTATGGCAGCATAAACGTAAGCAGCCACATCTGTATTCTTAGGGAAGAGACCATGCTACGCCGACCGCTGTGTTCCGCCGCCTCTCCTTCATATATAATCCCTGTTGCCATGCATCCCTCATGTGGCACAGCTGGCGGAAACCGGACAGCGTGCGCCAACATGATGCAATTCGTCAGCCGGCCACTCGAATGATTGCTTGCAGGTCCGTGTCATCCCATCTTAGCACGGGTGTTTTGGTACTGCAGGTCATGCAGTCTGACCCTGGCAATGGCTCGCTTCTCATTTTGCGGATCCCATCCTCTGCAACAGGCTAACGCAGCTCCCGTAGCTCCACCGCAGTTTTTCTACATCGGTATGCCACGGGCCAGCTTGGTGTCCATGGATCTACTAACGGCGTCGGAAATGAACCGAGTGTTGACTGTTTGCACAATTATCACTCATTTCCCTCGTGGAGATTTTCACAGTTTGCAGCTCATTCCACGCCACATTCGCCCCCGGATTGTCCGTATGCATTGTCCGACTGCATCATTGGTTCAGAAATTCCGTCATAGGACAAACGAGGCATTAATTCTTCGCCATCAACACCTCAACTCTTCGAACGCGACGCAATATATCTCGAAAGTTCAGCCGATTACACGCCGGTTGTGCAGCAAAACCTGGCCTTCCCCATGAGCCTCCTGAAGCCGCTAGCGGGGCCTGATATGCGTCGCCTCGGCTGACGTTGTGTAGTGCAGACGGTACTCTAGCCCTGGAGAAGCGTCTCTGCATGACTACGCCACCATCCATGCCAAGTCGCTTGATGTCAGTAGGCGTAGTAGACACTTGTTCCGCTTATTCGACCGTCGTCACTTGGTTTCAAAGAAGCGCCGGAGCTATCTATCCGCCTACAGAGGATCTCCCTGCACGGGCACTCTGATGCTACCTATAAGCTGCTGCACTTAACCGGCGGCCACCACATGGATTCGCCTAGTATCCACCTACCGTTTCCGTTTGACGTTTGTCTATTGAAAATGGGCTCACATATTCACCATCAAGGGTGCAGTTGACTCGTGCCAAAGTCAACTTAATCCCGCACGTCTGCAAATAGACACCCATGCTGCCCATTGGGTACGTGTGTAAGCACAACCTCAGGGCGCTTATGCTACTGTGGCCAGATTTATCCTTGACGGTTGCAGCTATAGGTACTACGTATGTACCTCGGCCAGAGACGGTGATACTCTAGATTCATATAAGCACCATGCAGACTAACCGCCTGCGTCTGACTCGCAATCACATCGGCTAATGCACCAGCAGGTGGCCCAAGTCACTCAGCCTTGAGAGGCCACCACTGTGTTGTAATATTTTTATCAAATTTCTTGTTTCATGACATTACTTGTATCATAGTCTAGAACATCATCAGCCGCCTAGACGGCGAATAGCTCAATCGCATCGAGGATCACATTCGCTGCCAAGTAGGCGTTGTTACTTTTGTCTCCACTCAAACAACTGATGGTAATGGTGTTATCTCCGTTGACCAGAGTACCAGCCGGAATGTTGAAGTTGTAAATCTCGCCAAACCCTCGATACGCGCCTCTCGTAAAACCTCGCGAATTAATCTTGGTCGGCGCAGCGAAATTCCGAGCTTGGAACGCGTTGACCACGACCGACGGACGACAGCCTGCAAAGGAAAGCGTGGTGCCGACACGCAGCGTGGCCGCGCTCGTGTTGTTACTTTCGAACTTGATGGTCAGGGGATTCATGTCCTTGATGATGGCCATGGGGACGTCGTTGAGGGTGCTGGAACCGACGGTATACGTCAGGGGGCCCCAAGAGTCCATACGAGTGTCTGACGGGTGCATGCGGAGCTGTTTGTCTGCGTTGCGGAACCCCTTTGGCTGACCGTCCCAGTCGCCAATACGCCAGATGGACTTTTTGGCCTCCGTGTCAGCCGTAATGTTGGCTGTGGTTGCTTGGCCAGCGACCACCGACACGGTACTCGCTTTGACCTTGAACTCTTGCTGGTACAGCACCTGCGTGTAATTCCCAGGCTTCATGGCTGGCGAGGTAAAATGTCCAGAATCATCGGCATAGGCCCAATACTGCGCTGCATCGTTGTACCAATGAAGCACAATCTGGAAGCCAGATTTCACACCCGTAGCCGTTCCGGTTACCGTGCCGCGGTCCGACGGAGCAACGTAGTTTTGGATTCCCAGGTCCTTGAAGAAGGTCGAGTCAAAAGCGGAGCCGCCTTTTGGCACGTCCGACTGCGTGAAGGAAAGTGCATACGGGCCATGGAAGCCCTGACGGAACTGCTCAAGTTGGACATGGTTGCTGTTCATGTAAAAGGTCAAAGAAGTCGAGGTCCCGCCGTTGTTGGTGTTGATATCGCGGTGGAAGGGTCCTCCCGAGGAGACTTCATACGAGTAGTCATTCATCAACAAGCAAGCATAGACTGAATCCACGTCGCGGTAAACACAGTGCTAATTTCACGTCAGTCAGTCTAGGCTCTTTGCCTTGCGGGATCCACCAAGCCTTACCACACCGTCGTCGATGAAGCGGTCGCTCGAGTAGAACTTGCTGCGTGTCTGGCCATCCACCACAAAGACATCCTGGCCTTCGACAGTCGACGTCGCATTTGCCGTCGTAGATGCCACGCCAAACGGATAACTCAATGGCAATGCGCTACTGCGCAGACGAGCAATGTAGCGCAGCTCGCCAACAGTCGGCTCAGCCGTAGTATCCGTTGCCATGTAGATGGTTGCATCCCCCGGCCTCACCACCATGTAGTGTGTCAAGGTACTTGTCGTACAAGTGATCTTTGTATAGTTTGCTGCTCACTCTATTAGCCAAACATTACAAACAAGCAGGTTTCCAAAACTGACACCCAACCATTTCATACTTGACATTCGCACTACCCAGCCCCATTTCAACCTGCGATCCCTTGTCGGGCGATTGCAGCTCCTCGCCGCGGTACTTGATGGACGTGATATCGCAGTTTTTGCCATTGACAGTAAAGACTAGCGATTGCGGCGATGCGACATCAACGACAAAGTCATTTCCGCTCTTGGTCACGCCAAAGGCCGCCAGAACCGTCGACGACGATAGCGTGGCGGCTGCCAGCAATATCGTTTTCAGCACCATTGCTCTGCGCGAGAGAGAAGGGAAGAAGAAAAAAAAATAATAGTTGGATTGCACACGTATATACAGGGAATGAGCAATCGCACTACGTAATACAGAGAGAGAGGGAAGCGAAGGAGAGGGAACAAGAAGAAGAGAAAAAGCAGGTGAGACAGCACGCTTAATACCAATCCGTCCTTCTCACCAGAACGGGGAACCAAGAAGGTTCATAAATTAAAATCACTATGGACAAGGGACGGAACGAACATGGCGCTATTTACTACTAGTAAAACATGGTGAGAATGCTTGTTTGAGCCGCGCTCGCGTGGTTCCCTTGTCATCCCGGGGAGGGCCATGGAGATGATAAGGTGGAGTGTGTGTGTGTGTGTTCTTTTTTTTGTGTGTCTCGGATAGATAGAGTGGGCGGTAGGTTTTACGTGTATTGTATATATGTATATTTTATGCATAGTATAAATGGTGCTTAACTTCAAAAAATGTCTAAATAGGGGAAGGATAGTAGTTTGCGTGCGTATGTATTCTATAATTTTTTTTTCTTTTTTTCTCTCTCTCTCTCTCTCTTCACAAGTATATATGTTATGTTATGTTATGTTATGGATCTATGTGTAGATGGAGATGTATGTACATGTATATCTTTCGCAGCTAAGTGGGACCTTTTTTTTTTCCCAGATAACAAAACTACCCATCTACCCACTTACACACACACACACACACACACACAGCTAAACACGTGGCTACACGTGTCTACACGTGATTATCATACCATCTAAATCTACATATAGTACACATAGACTTTAACAAACGTAAAAAAAAATAAAAAAAAAATCATCACAAAATCAGAAATAAATAAAGTTTCCCGTCATCACGTCAGACGGCTGGCACGGCTGGGACGGCAGCAAAGCAAACGAAATCAAAGGGACGGGAAAAGATGCTATCATTAGTATCAGTATCAGCATCAGCATCAGCATCAGCATCAGCATCAGCGTCGTCATCATCATTGTGTGGAACTTGGCTACTACAAAAATTTCCCTCTTTTTCTTCTTCTCTTTTTTTCTTTTTTTAACCTTTGCATCTCTGTGTCTACTTACGTGTCTACGCGTCTCGGTGTCTCGGTGTCTCGGTGTCTCGGTGTCTACTTACGTGTATGTCATATGTGTGGATTTATGCATTCATGGCCGCCAAAGCGGAGTAAGCGGCGAATAAGTGGCGGAGAAGAAAGATAGGATAAGAAGCATGTAGTCAGTCATTCAGTCATTCAGTCATTCAGTCAGTTAGTTAGTACATAGTTAAATCCCTAGTCTCGAGCATCTAACAAAAGAAAAGACAAGTTTATCTAGGGTTAAGCAAGCACGAGATATGTGACTGGAATGCTTATTATTAGTTCTTCGTTCTTCGTTCTTCATTCTACATGTTAGTGTAAACTTGAAACTAGAAACTAGAAACTAGAAACTGGAAACTGGAAAAAAAATGCATCATGAGCCGCACGGTATCTTGAAAGAAAGATGGTAAGTGTAACGGGCTGAACGCCCTTCGCCTCCCATACTCGTCTACGACCTCGTTTACTCCACCTGCCTGGCCTGATTGTTACCCTAGCAACCAGCATTGTATATAGATAGCTACGTAGCCGAGAGCTTAGCTCTCTATCGAATACAATCTTGTTACCTTGGCCTGTCCGATCGTGCTCCCGAGCTTAAGACTACCCTCCGGGGTCGAGCCCCTTACAGTAAGAAGTAAAAAAAAAAAAAAAAAGGAAAAGAAAATAAGCGATAGAAACTTAAACCAGGCCTAGTGCTTGGCAAGAGCTTGATTTTCTTCACATGGACATCATGCCATCATGCCATGTGGCCATAATCTCTTTTTTTTTCTTTTTCCCTTTTTTTTCTTCCTTTTTTTTTTCTTCTTTTCTTCCAGACAGTGTGGCGGTGTGGATGACTAGGGGGGAACAGGGCAGGGTAGGGGGTGTATTTATCCGCTGGGGAAATAATAATATGATATAATATGCGCTAACGTGGTTCACAAGTGAGTCGCTAACCCAAGCAAGTCGCTAACGCCCCACTAGCCTATCAACTTTATCACTATAACGCGTAATGTCTTAACAACATAACTATTTATCAATATATTTTCAATCTAATCTTTAACTTACTCTTTTTAACGTTTAGTTATAATATATTTAGCGTATAAACTATACTACTACTATCTACAACGTCTTATAAAAAACTATATCTAATTAACGCGCTAGAAAGCGCTTTTAACGCAACTATAAGCTAAAATTAAAGCGTCTAGATAAGCTAAAAAAGAAGGCTATAGTTAAGCATGTTTTTAAAGAGTCTACGTAAGAATTTACGACTATAAAGCTTAATATTTAAGTAATAGCTAATAAACTATTAGAAGAGCGTAGTAGTAACTTTATTAGTAAGAACTAGATTAATAACTTTATTAAGTAGACTTCTAAGCTCTATACACGCTAGAGCTATTTTTATAATTACTAGCAAGCTGTAACGGGCTAGGTAGCCCGCTACAGTACAGATAGCGGTGGCTATCTTATGTATCAACTACGCAACGATATCAGCAGCTCTGATATCTTGTGCCAGCCTTTTTGGCGCGGTGGGCGCGTTGTAGTTGCGTGCGCAGTCTAATAGGACTCGACCCGTTACACAAGCCGCCTATAAGAATCTAGTAGCTATTTAGCGCTAGTTTAACTTAGTCTAGGTAATAAGGTAGAAGTA